TGACCAGTTCTCCTCGATGCGCCGCCGCGCAATCACGTCCTCGCCGATGCAGACGGCGCCGATCGGCCGGCCGTCCTCGTTGAGCTGCGGCTCAGCGGACACCTGCAGCAGCACACGCAAGCACGACAACTCCCTCTGAGTTCGCTCGCATGTGAGACCTGCGCATCTGACCCCGCGGAGCGGGCTGACAGGCACGGGGGAGGGGGAGGGGGAGGGGGAGGGGGAGGGGGCTCGACACCTGCAGCAGCACCTGCCGGCCGTGCACCTTGGACTGGATCATCATCTCGAAGCACTCGACACGCTCCCCGTTGACAGCCTATGATGTCAACAGAGTCGACTCTCAAAGCACTCGGCCCGCTCGCCGACCCACGGCCGAGGTGGCGGGGCGGCGGGAGCCAGGCGGGCCAGGGCGTGGAGGTGTCGCCGCGGGCTGCGCGGCGGGCAAGCAGAGCGCAGCCACGCCCTCGGCGGGGGGTGGGGGGCAGAGGGCGTGCGAGGGCGGCGCGCACCCTCTGCAGCGCACGGAACGAGACCTCGAGCGTGTCGACGTGTTCGGAGGGCGCGCCGCTAGCGAGGCAGCGGATGGAGGCGCCCTTGATGAAGTCGGCCTAGAGAGAGAGCCGTGCGGCGGGGCTCCGGCGGTGCGACCTCGGAGGTTGGCGTCCGTGCGGCGGAGGGTGGAGGCGGCGCCGGTATCGAGGTCAGCTGCGAGACCTGCTCACAGTCGGGCCCGTGTAAAGAGCCGCCCCTGGCACCGTGTGAAGCCACCAGTCCTCTGCCGGCACAGATACCTTTTGGTTCCAGGCCGTGACGACGAGGTGGCGGTCCACGGCAAAGATGGGCGCGTTGGCCGTGTCGACGAGGTCGGACAGCTCGCGGTTCTTGGCCTGCAGCTCGTCCGTCTTCTTGTACAGCTGGCTCTGCACAATCTCGTACCTGCCGGCGGCGGCGGCGGAGGAGGAGGGGCTTGAGGCGGCGGCGGCAGAGCGTGCCCGAGGCAAGGCAGAGGGCCTGAGGCCTGTTCGCGTCCCGCAAATCGCGGCATTGGGAGCAGGGCAGGGGGGAGAGAGACGGATAGAGGGGAGACGAGGGGAGGAGGCGCACTGCTTCGCCAGCTGCCGCCGGTACACCAGGTCGACCACCATGTCGGCAAACATGATGAGCTCTTTTCGCTGCGAGTCGTCGAGAGGCGGCCGCGGCTTGCGGTCGATGAGACAGAGGGTCCCGATGGGCTGGCCGTCGCAGACGAGGGCCCGGCCCGCGTAGTAGCGGATCCACGGGTCGCCAGTGACCAGCGGGTTGTCGCAAAACCTGCGCACTCCCGGCGGACGCGTGGGCAGGCTCGCAGCTGGGCGAGGAGGCGGCCGGGTGCAGGCGCGGGGCGACACGCCTCTTGTCCTCGGCGGCGTCGTTGATCTCGAAGATGGTGGGCGCGCCGGGCATGATGGCGTGGGTGCAAAACGCAGCGTCGCGGCAGGTCTGCCGCACTGGGAGCCCTTCGGCCGCCTTGAACCACTGCCTGTCCGTGTCCACGAGCGAGACGAGCGCAATCGGCACGTCGAAGTGGCGCGCCGCAAGCGTGGCGAGCCGATCGAACGGCTCCTCAAAGTCGGTGTCGAGCAGATGAAAGTCGTGCAACGCGGCAATTCTCTGCTCGTCGTCTGGGTGACAGGGCCACTGATTCGGCTGGTATCCGCGCTCCTGTTCGCGCTCCTGGTCACTCGCGCCGGCGGCATGAGCGAAGCAGAAATTAGGGGCACTCATGCCTCCTACGCGCTGGCTGCCGAATGTCGAGAAGGCGACGTCGCTGCCGAAGTCTGCAGGGTGTGGAAGGCGGCGGCGCACGGCAGCGCAATCTGAGTGCAGCCGTCAAAATGAATAACGCGGTTCAACACCACGAGACAAACGTGCGGGGCAAGAACGAAGAGGAAGTTCACCGCGGCGTGGCGTGGAGCGGTTGAGCATTCCTCCGGGGGCCTCTGCGGGAGTAGGCATATTTTCTTTTGCGGGTTTTTCTTCAATCCCTGTTTTGTTTCTTTTGACGCTGATCGAGATCAAACAAAAAAAATCGAGATCTGATCAGAGAGAGAGAGAGATTTTTAGCAATACCAAATTTTGTTACCAAATTTTGTTTGTCTGATCAGCCGCCCTGCTTCTGAGAGAGAGATATTTTTAGCAATACCGTGTTGCTGCTTCTGAGGAACCCGTCGCCCGCACCTTGCCTGTCGTGTGAATCGGGGTGTGTGCGTGTGTCGTCTGCCAAAGGGTAGGAGAGAGAGAGAGATTTTTAGCAATACCAAACAACTCTAACACTCACACGTAATTTGGGGCCTGGAGCCCTGTTGCTGTTCACGCGCGCGCGAGACGTGCAGACAGGGTTGCCAGGTGAGAGCGAATGGCGCGGTTCACGCCTCGCACAACAGAGAGAGAGATGCGCTCTGCATGGTGGGACATAAAAGAAAGCGAGTACTTGGGCGAGTAGGCCGTGCGGTCAACGCTGCCGCGCGCGACTTTGCGCGCGAGGCGGCGCAGCTTGAGAACGGCGGTGGGCGAGAAGCCGCCGCCGAACGTCTTGTGGAGCAGCAGGTTGAATGAAGTTGTTGCGCTTGACAAAGATCGCGTCGTGGTAGAAACCGCGATGCGCGCCTTGACGTAGCCGTGGCCGGTCTTGTGGGAGAAGGGTTGTGGCCGGGCTGCCCGCGCGCCTTGCAGCCCATGTTCAGGCGGCGGGCCTTCTCTTCGGTGTTGCCGAAGGCGTAGGAGTGGCCGACGGAGGCGGGCGTGCCGCCACTCGAGGCGTTGCCAACGCCCGTCGAGGAGGTCTTGAGGAGGGGCGTCCAGAGCTTGATCTCATTTACTTCATCGCATCCTCCTGGCCCCGCATGGGGTTCTGCGAGGTCAGTCTTGTACCCCTCGTTGTACTGCCGGGTGAGCTTTGGTTTCTCCTTGTCGCCGTGCACGACCGGCGCGTTGGCCGGGGCGCGCATCGCGTCCGCCCAGGCGGCGAGGACGCCGTCGTGGGGCCGCCGGTGGTGGGCCTTGTTGTTTTTAAGGGTAGGCCCAATGGGAGAGATTTTTGAGGACCAACAAGAAATCGCGACTGTCACAGTGATTTGGGCTCGCTCGGAGAGGGTACCCTTTGCGCCCGCAGGAGGCTAAAGAAAGAAAGAAAACAGACAACCCAAGCAGGAGGCTGTACCGAGTACAAGTGTACAACCTTTCTTTTTCGTTTTTCTTTGCGTGTGAATACTAACCGGGGTGGGCGGGCCTCTATCCGGCTACTCGAAAGGTCCTCGGCGAGGATACCTCGGTGGGCGGGGCCTCTACCCGGTACCCGGGAAGAACTCACACAACAAGATAGAGTATCGGCCAGCCCTCGCTGGCGCGAGTGGGCGCACGAGCGGCTACCTTCGCGCCGCGCGCTTCATTGACCACGCGAGAACCAATGAGTCCCTCCGTATTCGTTTGTCTGGAGGCTGCCATCGCCATGTATGCCGCGTCGCTCGGCCTCGTGCTCGGCTGGTGCGGCTGGTCGGTTGGCAAACACGGCTGGCGCAAGGGTGGGCTGCGCCGCGCTTCGTATGTGCTGTTTGGTCTGCTCCTTGCTGTTCGCGTGGCGTGGTGTGCCGTGCTGCTCGCTGGCGCCACTGCCGCGGACACCGGCGACGCGCTTGATGGCCGCTCTCTCGACGAGCGGCTCCTGTCAGCACCCGTGAGCCGTCTGCTCGACGGCACAGCAAGCGCGCTGCAGTTCGCAGTCTTGTCCCTGCTCGTGAGTGGGTGGGCGGACTCGCACCTCATGATGTCCGCCAGCAGCGCGATGGCGCCGGTCACCGTCCGGCCTGCGGCACTCTTCTACCGCCTCTGGCCAACCTACGCCGCAGTCAACACCGCCCACGCCGCCGTCCTCGCCGTCTCTCTCACGCCGCTGCTGCTCCCCTCCCCTACCCACCGTCACCACCCCGACCGACCGGAGAGCGGCGACGGCGACACGGAGCCAGCCGGCTGGCCACACACGGCCCTTGTCGGCGGTGAGCGGCTCGGGCTTGGCGCGAGCGCCGCCTTCTCCCTCGCGCTGGCAGTCGCGTCCCTGGTGGCGGGCCTCTCGGTCTCCTGCAAGATGGTCGCGATCGTGGCCATCGAGCCGAGCCTGCGCTCGTACACGCACCTCAAGGCGCGCAAGGTGTCCACCGCCGCGGCCGTCTTCTTCCTCTGCTGCCTCCTCCGCTCTTTCGTTCTCTTCTCGGCGGCGCTCGCCGGAGAGCGACACCCCGGCCCCGCCTCGCGTGCCAGGGAGAGCGTCTCTTCACAGCACCCGGCGCGAACAGGCTCGCCCCTCTGGCCGCCCTTCGCCGGCGGCTCCTCGCACCCGGACCCGGACTGGCTCGCCACGCCGCCACGCACGCCGCTGCGCCGGCTGCCGCTCTACCTCGCCCTCGGGACGGCGGGGCCCGACGTACTGACGACCGTTGTAGCCCTCGTCGTCCTGCGGCGCGCCGCCGCGAGACTCCCCCCCCCCCCCCTCCTCCACCACGGACCCTCCCCCTCCCCCCCCCTCCTTCTCCCCCCCGTGTCGTAAGCCTCTTCCGGCCTCGCACTCCTGACAGGCGCCGATCCGAGCTCCGCTGCTGCTGCTGCTGCTGCTGCCTGGACAGCGGAGGCGCCGCGTCCTGGCTCCGAGAGCACACCCCGCCCCGTCTCGCACCCGCCACCGTTGTGAGGCTTAGGCGCCGACGCGGCGCTGCTCCTCCGCCCGCCGGACCGCACTCCGCTCGTGGCCGCCGAGGGCGAGGCCGCCGAGGCGAGTATCGTGGCCCAGACCTACAAGGTGTGAGGTGGCGTGACTCTAGAGTCCAGTGACCCCTCTTTCTCAGGCTTGCCGTGTGTCGCGACTAGTCTCTTGCGTCTCAGTCCCTATTCGTCCAGCCCCCCATTCGTGCGCGTCAGGTTGTGCTTCAACGTGTGTTCAGCTCGTCTCAGAAAGAAAGAAATAAAACAGCCAAAGAAATTCTTTCGCGCAGAAAATTCTTTTTAACAAGAGGGCCGAGGGCCTGCCTCCACTGGCGCGCACCTCCCCTGCCGACCGATGTCCCACAAGGCCGTCGTCGCGGACGGCAAGCGGAGCGAGGGTCCAAGCGAGTACATGGGCAAGTGCCTCAGTGCCGACGGCGGCGTCTACTCCGTCGAGCTGCTCTCCGACCCGCCGCGTGAGCTCGAGCTGAGCCACTCGCTGCTGTGGCAGTGGGCGGTGGCGCCGTCGATGAAGCCGAAGCGCCTCTCCGGCGACGCGGTGCGCATGGAGGTCGGCGACCGCTGCATCGTCGCCATCTGGGACGAGCGCGGCGGCGAGGTGGAGAGCGTGCAGCTGCTTCGGCGTATGGCGGGCCGCATCGCCGACCGCGCGTCTGCGGTGGCGGGGCAGATCGAGCCCGACGAGGCCTTTCGCGCGGTCGCCGGCTCGCGCCTCTTCCTCAAGGTCTCTGAGATACTCGGCGCGCACCAGCTGCCGCCGCTCGGCGAGCGCGTTGAGTTTGTGCTCGCGCCAAACCCCGAGCGGGCGGACCGGCTGTGGGCGTCCGAGGTGACGCTACTCAACCCGTCCGCGCTGGCCGCCCTCTCGCCCGGCCGCAAGACGGGCGGCGCCAAGCCCGAGCCGCCCTCGGGCACGCCGCTCGCGCCCTCGCACGGAGGCGGCGCCTCCGCGCGGGGAGCAGCGGCCGCGGGGCCGGCGCGAGTCAAGGCGGAGACATCTCCCGTGGGGGTGGGGGAGGAGCCGGTGCGGAACGGGTACCTGCCCGGCCGGCGCATCTACGTCGGCAACCTGCCTCCCGAAGTGACGTGGCGCGAGCTCGGCCACTTCTTCACCGAGGCCAAGAGCGGCCCGCTCCTGCACGTGCGTGCTTCCCCTGGGGGTAGGGAGGAGGGGAGAGAGAGAGGGTCGGCGGCGGCGCCCGCCGCCAACCGCCGCTCCGCTGCCAACCGTCCCCTCGCTCCATCCCCAATGCAGCCCCCCCACCCGCCCGCCCACCCTCCCACCACGCGCCCCCTAACACGCCACCCAGGGAGCACGTCCGCCGCCACCGCCCCGCCCCTCCCGCCCTTGCCTACCTCGGCGCGGCCCTCGTCCCGACAGGTGGTGACGCCGCTCGACGCTCGCGGCCGTCCGCGCGGCTTTGGCGTCGTCGAGCTCCCCACAACAGAGGCAGCGGCCGCCGCTCTGAGGGCGTTTGCGGGCGGCGCGGAGCTGCGCGGCTCCCGCGTGATCGCGCGGGACGACACTGCGCTCGTGCAGGCGGCGGGCAGCACGACCGTCTACGTGAGCAACCTGGCGCCCACAACCACGTGGCAGGCCCTCGCGGAGCACTTGCGGATGACCGAAGGGGCGGCGCAGGCGCGCGGCCTCTGCGGCCCATGCCGCACTTGGCCCCCGCTCTCTTGGCCACCACGGGGCCCCGCTCCCTCGGCCAGCTGTAGCAGTGCCCCCCCCCCCACCCACCCACCCCCACCCCGCCCCACCCGCCCCGCCCCCTGCCACCGCCTCCTCCGCGGCAGGTCCCCGTCGACGGCAGCGGCCGCCCGATGGGGTTCGCGATGGTGGTGCTGCGGGACCCGTCCGCCGCAGAGGCGATGGTGGAGAAGCACCACCACTCGTCGCTCGACGGGCGCAACCTCTTCCTGCGGCACCGCGAGGCAGAACCTTCCATGAGCCTTCCCGGACCCTTCCTAGGCGCAACCTCTTCCTGCGGCACCGCGAGGCAGAACCTTCCATGAGCCTTCCCGGACCCTTCCTAGGCGCAACCTCTCCCTGCGGCACCGCGAGGCAGAACCTTCCATGAGCCTTCCCGGACCCTTCCTAGGCGCAACCTCTCCCTGCGGCACCGCGAGGCAGAACCTTCCATGAGCCTTCCCGGACCCTTCCTAGGCGCAACCTCTCCCTGCGGCACCGCGAGGCAGAACCGTCCATGAGCCTTCCCGGACCCTTCCTAGGCGCAACCTCTTTCTGCGGCACCGCGAGGCAGAACCGTCCATGAGCCTTCCCGGACCCTTCCTAGGCGCAACCTCTTCCTGCGGCACCGCGAGGCAGAACCGTCCATGAGCCGTCCCGGACCCTTCCTAGGCGCAACCTCTTCCTGCGGCACCGCGAGGCAGAACCTTCCATGAGCCGTCCCGGACCCTTCCTAGGCGCAACCTCTTCCTGCGGCACCGCGAGGCAGAACCTTCCATGAGCCTTCCCGGACCCTTCCTAGGCGCAACCTCTTCCTGCGGCACCGCGAGGCAGAACCTTCCATGAGCCTTCCCGGACCCTTCCTAGGCGCAACCTCTTCCTGCGGCACCGCGAGGCAGAACCGTCCATGAGCCTTCCCGGACCCTTCCTAGGCGCAACCTCTTCCTGCGGCACCGCGAGGCAGAACCGTCCATGAGCCGTCCCGGACCCTTCCTAGGCGCAACCTCTTCCTGCGGCACCGCGAGGCAGAACTTTCCATGAGCCTTCCCGGACCCTTCCTAGGCGCAACCTCTCCCTGCGGCACCGCGAGGCAGAACCTTCCATGAGCCGTCCCGGACCCTTCCTAGGCGCAACCTCTCCCTGCGGCACCGCGAGGCAGAACCTTCCATGAGCCGTCCCGGACCCTTCCTAGGCGCAACCTCTCCCTGCGGCACCGCGAGGCAGAACCTTCCATGAGCCTTCCCGGACCCTTCCTAGGCGCAACCTCTCCCTGCGGCACCGCGAGGCAGAACCTTCCATGAGCCTTCCCGGACCCTTCCTAGGCGCAACCTCTTCCTGCGGCACCGCGAGGCAGAACCTTCCATGAGCCTTCCCGGACCCTTCCTAGGCGCAACCTCTTCCTGCGGCACCGCGAGGCAGAACCTTCCATGAGCCTTCCCGGACCCTTCCTAGGCGCAACCTCTTCCTGCGGCACCGCGAGGCAGAACCTTCCATGAGCCTTCCCGGACCCTTCCTAGGCGCAACCTCTTCCTGCGGCACCGCGAGGCAGAACCTTCCATGAGCCTTCCCGGACCCTTCCTAGGCGCAACCTCTCCCTGCGGCACCGCGAGGCAGAACCTTCCATGAGCCGTCCCGGACCCTTCCTAGGCGCAACCTCTTCCTGCGGCACCGCGAGGCAGAACCGTCCATGAGCCTTCCCGGACCCTTCCTAGGCGCAACCTCTTCCTGCGGCACCGCGAGGCAGAACCTTCCATGAGCCGTCCCGGACCCTTCCTAGGCGCAACCTCTTCCTGCGGCACCGCGAGGCAGAACCTTCCATGAGCCTTCCCGGACCCTTCCTAGGCGCAACCTCTCCCTGCGGCACCGCGAGGCAGAACCTTCCATGAGCCGTCCCGGACCCTTCCTAGGCGCAACCTCTTCCTGCGGCACCGCGAGGCAGAACCTTCCATGAGCCGTCCCGGACCCTTCCTAGGCGCAACCTCTTCCTGCGGCACCGCGAGGCAGAACCTTCCATGAGCCGTCCCGGACCCTTCCTAGGCGCAACCTCTTCCTCGCGGCACCGCGAGGCAGAACCGTCCATGAGCCTTCCCGGACCCTTCCTAGGCGCAACCTCTTCCTGCGGCACCGCGAGGCAGAACCGTCCATGAGCCGTCCCGGACCCTTCCTAGGCGCAACCTCTTCCTGCGGCACCGCGAGGCAGAACTTTCCATGAGCCTTCCCGGACCCTTCCTAGGCGCAACCTCTCCCTGCGGCACCGCGAGGCAGAACCTTCCATGAGCCGTCCCGGACCCTTCCTAGGCGCAACCTCTCCCTGCGGCACCGCGAGGCAGAACCTTCCATGAGCCGTCCCGGACCCTTCCTAGGCGCAACCTCTCCCTGCGGCACCGCGAGGCAGAACCTTCCATGAGCCTTCCCGGACCCTTCCTAGGCGCAACCTCTTCCTGCGGCACCGCGAGGCAGAACCTTCCATGAGCCTTCCCGGACCCTTCCTAGGCGCAACCTCTCCCTGCGGCACCGCGAGGCAGAACCGTCCATGAGCCTTCCCGGACCCTTCCTAGGCGCAACCTCTTCCTGCGGCACCGCGAGGCAGAACCTTCCATGAGCCTTCCCGGACCCTTCCTAGGCGCAACCTCTCCCTGCGGCACCGCGAGGCAGAACCGTCCATGAGCCTTCCCGGACCCTTCCTAGGCGCAACCTCTCCCTGCGGCACCGCGAGGCAGAACCTTCCATGAGCCTTCCCGGACCCTTCCTAGGCGCAACCTCTTCCTGCGGCACCGCGAGGCAGAACCTTCCATGAGCCTTCCCGGACCCTTCCTAGGCGCAACCTCTTCCTGCGGCACCGCGAGGCAGAACCTTCCATGAGCCTTCCCGGACCCTTCCTAGGCGCAACCTCTTCCTGCGGCACCGCGAGGCAGAACCTTCCATGAGCCTTCCCGGACCCTTCCTAGGCGCAACCTCTTCCTGCGGCACCGCGAGGCAGAACCTTCCATGAGCCGTCCCGGACCCTTCCTAGGCGCAACCTCTTCCTGCGGCACCGCGAGGCAGAACCTTCCATGAGCCTTCCCGGACCCTTCCTAGGCGCAACCTCTTCCTGCGGCACCGCGAGGCAGAACCTTCCATGAGCCGTCCCGGACCCTTCCTAGGCGCAACCTCTTCCTGCGGCACCGCGAGGCAGAACCTTCCATGAGCCGTCCCGGACCCTTCCTAGGCGCAACCTCTTCCTGCGGCACCGCGAGGCAGAACCTTCCATGAGCCGTCCCGGACCCTTCCTAGGCGCAACCTCTTCCTGCGGCACCGCGAGGCAGAACCGTCCATGAGCCTTCCCGGACCCTTCCTAGGCGCAACCTCTTCCTGCGGCACCGCGAGGCAGAACCTTCCATGAGCCGTCCCGGACCCTTCCTAGGCGCAACCTCTTCCTGCGGCACCGCGAGGCAGAACCGTCCATGAGCCGTCCCGGACCCTTCCTAGGCGCAACCTCTTCCTGCGGCACCGCGAGGCAGAACCTTCCATGAGCCGTCCCGGACCCTTCCTAGGCGCAACCTCTTCCTGCGGCACCGCGAGGCAGAACCGTCCATGAGCCGTCCCGGACCCTTCCTAGGCGCAACCTCTTCCTGCGGGTCGACTGCGACACGACCGGGCGCGACGCCCTCGACGCCGCCGCGCTCGCCGAGGCGCGCCGCCGCCCAGCGCCGGCCACCTTGGCGCGGCACTGTCCCGCGCGGCGCTGTCCCGCGCCGGGGGCCCTTGACGCCTTGCCCGCAGCGCCGCCCTTCTGTGGCCTCCCAGCGCCCCC